TTGTATGGGCTCACCTGTGAGTAGAATTTAAAAAAAAGTCAAGCTCAGATACAGAGAACAAATTAGTGATTGTCAGAGGTAGGGGTGGGGGTGGATGAAATGGGTGAGAGGGGTCAAAAAGTACAAAATTCTAGTTATAAAAAATAAATAAGTCATGGGGATACAATAAATAAAATAACTAAACCAGTATTAATATAAAGGCAATGTATCTGGACTTTCCCAAAACATTTGGCAGATTTGTTTTGATATCTTCATAAATGAAATGGAAAAAATAGGAGTTAGATGATATGACTAGGTGAATTCACAGTTAATTTTTTTTTTTTTTTAAAGAATCCCCTCACTTTATAGATAGGACAAATGACAGCTGGGCAAGGGTGGTAATTTCTGAATCATAGTGGATCAGTTACCAATTCAGAACCAGATGGGATTTTAACTACCTTGTATTTGTTTAGTAGGTAGTGCTGAGTGCCAGTTGGCTCATTTTTTAAATGACAGTGGAGTAAATGATGTGATTGGGGTAGATGCACATACAAGTGTCTAGCATGGTTGTCCAGGGAGTAGAAAGGGCAGCCCTGGGTTTGAGGGTGATACAGGAAGGTGTTCAGTCTGGGGGTGGGACGGGGCTGGTTATGGTCTGAGGAGAACAGAGCAGTTAGGAGAGTTTTGCCAAAATTTATAGGGAAACGAGGGCTGGAACTGCATAGTTTGAGATATAGGTCTTGATTTCCCTCATAATATGGATCCCAGAATTGAAGAATAATGGTCCTATGAAATTTTAAAACATTATTAAACTAATTTTATATTATAGTTGTAGAAAATAGGTACACTTAAAATATGAAAATAACAAATTCAAAAAAGGAGTACTGTATTAAGAGGCATTATACTGTGTGTTTTTCCTCTGTTATATAATTTTATTGCCCCCAAAATGTTAACTTTCCCTGTTTAATAATAAGTTCAAAAGAGCAAGGATTGTATTTTTCTTGTTCATAACTCTATCCCAGGTATTTAGCAAAGTGTCCAGGCTTAGTACTTACTCAGATTGTTTGTTCAATGAACAAGTGAATGAATAAATGAACAAATCAACAGGCAAATAAAAAGTTGGAAGACAGCAAATCAGGAAGTGGTGGCTAACTACCATGGAAGTCCTGAAAACATTTGTGATATTAGAATTAGCATTAGAATTAGCCTGATACATTGAGAACTGAGCAGAGCAACAGGTACTGGAAAAAAATCATGTCATATCACATATACATGACCATATTCTTTTTTATTTTTTTAAAGATTTTATTTATTTGACAGAGACAGAGAGGGGGGCAGAGAGCACAAGCAGGGGAAGAGGCAGAGGCAGAAGCAGGCTCCTGACTGAGCAGGGAGCCCATGTGGGTCTCGATCCCAGGACCCCAGGATCATGACCTGAGCCAAAGGCAGACACTTAATTGACTGAGCCACTCAGGCACCCCATGCATGATACCATATTCTTATTTGTACTCTATTTTGATGTCAGGAGTATTTAGTTGGAATTCTCATAGTCGATTATCTTTTCCTTAGTGCAGTAGAACTGTATGAAGAAATGAACAATTATATAAATGCATTTAGCATTTTAAAAAAACTTTTTAAAAAATATTTTATTTATTTATTTGACAGAGATCACAAGTAGACAGAGAGGCAGGCAGAGAGAGAGGAAGGGAAGCAGGCTCCCTGCTGAGCAGAGAGTCCGATGCAGGGTTCGATCCCAGGACCCTGGGATCATGACCTGAGCCGAAGGCAGAGGCTTTAACACACTGAGCCACCTAGGTGCCCCTAAAAAAAACTTTTAATGCTAAGTATTTAAACATTAAATATTTAACCTTAAAAGAATAAATTATATTTTTTAAAAGAAAAAAATGTGTAAGTGATTCAAGGACACAGATGTGTCTAGAACATTTAATTAAGACAATATCATGTCTCAATTAGTATGCCTTTCTCTTTTGTGAAATCATTCATTCATTATATCATAGAATTTTTTGTAATAATAGCAGCTAAACATTGTAGAGTACTTAACTTATACAAGGCCCTGTGCAAGATGTTCTACTTACCTTTAATCCTCACAACACTGAGAGGGAGATGTTACCATCTCCATTTACAGATGAGATCACAGAGCCTTAAGGATCTGTGCCCAAGATCACTTAGGTAAGAAGCAACAGTTGGCTTGCTCTGCCCAACTTATCTAATGATTGGTTCAGCACCCACCCTACTACCACAGTACATATGCTTTTAAATATACTCCACCTTCATTTATTGATGTGTAGGGCTGACTACTAAAGTAAAATCTAGTGTGTCTTTACAATTTTATTCTTGAATTGTATAAAGGTACACGATACAATGTTCTGACTCTCTTTTTGCCCCTGACACTGCCTGCTGTGAAAATCATTGTGATCTTCACATGCTTTATCTTTGAATGTGCTGTCAACTTTCAGTATCTGCCTTAGAGGCTGCCTGGAGTCTCTTGTTTTTCAAACTTCTCCTTGCCCCAAGAGTGGACAGGTTCCCTTCTCACTTAGTCTCCCCACACTGGGGAGTTGAGGCACCCCTGTCGAAAACACCATTTCTTCTGAAAATGAGAATTTAAGTCTTTTGTTTTATCATCAAAATTCACACTAACTGTTTTGATTTCTACTTCATAACATATATATGTCCCATTGGAATTTTTTTTTAAAGATTTCATTTATTTGACTGAGAGATAGAGAGCACAAGTAGACAGAGTGGCAGCCAGAGGGAGAGGGAGAAGCAGGCTCTACGCTGAGCAGGGAGCCCTATGGGCTCGATCCCTGGACCCTTGGGATCATGACCTGAGCTGAAGGCAGACCTTCAACCAACTGAGCCACCCAGGCGCCCCTCCCATTGGAATTCTTGATTACAAACAACAAATCCTGAAGGAATTTATTGGAAGGATATAAGGTAGCTCACAGAATGACAAGTTCTAGAGAGCCAGATTTGGGAAATAGGATTTTAGGGGGATTAGGGATTTAGAACCACAGTTATGCCACAGGAATAGCTAGGTAGAGTGCTGCTATCCACTGGTGCACATTTGTGTATACACACTTGGATAATATCCTCCATTGACTAAGTGCAACATTGTTAATCAGAAAAATAGCATTTGTATAATATCCTCCATGGACTAATTGCATCATTGTTTATCAGAAAAATATTAGAAAAAATAAAATTAACCCAAATGTCCATTAATGGAGTATTAATAAAATAAATTATATAGTAATTTAATAAGTTTCCACATAGTAATTATATATCTATATAATAGAATACTATATTGTATACAATTGTAGGAGATCTAAACATATACTCATAGAATGGTATTCAAGACAATAACAAGTAGAAAAAAGTTACAAAATACTATGTTTAGTATTACTCTATTTTTGTTTAAAAATGTATCTAATATTATATATGAGAAAAAAATTCAGAAGGAACATACACCAAACTGATACATTTGTTATCTCTGAGCTGTTGGTTAATAGACTTATTATATCATGTTTCTGTAATGTTTGAAATATTTTTTGCCAATAACTATAAAGTATGTGAATATGCCTCTCCTAACTGGAAACTTCAATTATGATTTTCTTCCTAAATAATTACATTATGGTAGGGCGATGACAGCCACATTCAGCTTTCTCTGCTCTATGTAAATAGATGTTCTCAAAAACAAGAATTAATACTCCTTTTCCTCACTCTCCTCACCCTCCACCATGGTGGTCTTCATTTCCTCAGTGAGTATGCCAGCTGAATGTTTGAAGAGTAAATAAAGAACAGATCAGATTTTAAAATAATTTTACCTTGCGATTTTGTGATTGTCATGGGTAGCATTAAATCCACTTACCGCAGTATGTGGATCCTAATCTCACTTTTGTTTTACATGTTTTATTTTATCTATCACCGTCATTGTTGGCAGCAGCACTCTCATTAGTTAAAAAATCTAGTTTTAAGTATTAGCTTATTCTCTAAAAGTACTCCTTTTCCCAGTGGGACTTTCCCTAATCCTTGTATTTGTATTTTAGAAAAAAATTTTAAACTTTGAACAAAAAGTTTTAGGCAAAGTTTTAAAAATACCTGTCTTAAAATATATATATATGTATTTAAATTTGGTGTAAAACTTGATGAAACTCATTATAGTTTGATCAATATTAACGTTTCAAATTATTGAATTAGGGTTTTTGAAAACATAAGACATTTTGGTATAACAATTTAATCATGTTAAGAGCTAAATTCTTTACAAACTGGTGACAGCCATGCTGGAAAACAAGTTGGAGGTTCCTCACAAAGTTAAAAATAGAACTCTCCTAAAATCCGGCAATCACAGTACTAGGTATTTACCCAATGAATACAAAAAGACTAATTCAAAGGGATACATGCACCCTGATGTTTATGGCAGCATTATCAACAATAGCCAAATTATGGAAGCAGCCCAAGTGTCCATCAGTTGATGAATGGATAAAGATGTCACACACACACACACACACACACACACACACACACAATGGAGTATTATTCAGCCATAAAAAGAATGAAATCTTGCCTCTGCAACGTGGATGGATCTAGAAAGTAATATACTAAGTGAAATAAGTCAATCAGATTAAGACAAATGCCATACGATTTCACTCATATGTGAAATTAAAGAAACAAATGAGCAAAGAGGAAAAAAAGAGAGAGAGAGAGGCAAACCAAGAAACAGATTCTTTTTTTTACCCCCCCAAGAAACAGATTCTTAACTCTAGAGAACAAACTGATGGTTACCAGCAGGGAGGTGGGTGGGGGCATGGGTGAAATAGGTGACAGGGATTCAGGAGGGCACTTGTGATGAGCACTGGGTGTTGTATGGAGGTGTTGAATCACTGTATTATACATCAGGAGCTAACATTACACTTCTGTTAACTAACTGGGATGTAAACAAAATTTTAGATAAAATTTTAAAAAGTTAAATTCATGATTCTTGTTTGCTTATTTGTTTGTAGCATTCTGTATTGGAAGAAGAAATTTCTATAGATGAAAAAAATGCCTTTGTTTAGTAAATCACACAAAAATCCAGCAGAAATTGTGAAAGCTCTAAAAGACAACTTGGCGATTTTGGAAAAGCAAGACAAAAAAACCGACAAGGTATGAACTAAAATGATAATATTATTATTCAGATGCATGTTTTCCAAAACCAAAAACCAATGTAAAAGCTTGATGAAGAATCCCCGAATACGGTCTGTGATGTGCACATAAGGTCTCTATAAATACATATACATTGATTTCAGGATTTATGCTGTTGTTGACTCTTTTGCTTTGAACCCTTGGCTCACTATCTTCAGCCTCTGACAAAACTTGGATCCCTTTAGACTACAGAGCTTAAAAATCTAAGGGGCTATATAGGTATATAATGCTAAACTGACAGGAAGGATAGAACATTTTTATTTAAAGATCACCTGATAGTTTCTATGACAGTGCAACCTCATTTTAACATTTTTTAAAGGTCCTACTAAGCAGGATTTCCTCATAGGTAAGGTTTTTGTTATTGTTGTTGTTGTTCTTTTCTTTGTATTTTGTTCCTTCCATAGGATGTTGGATCCTATGTATTCAATTTCTTTCTAAAGTGACTGGTTAGTTTATGGCAACAATTAAGAGAACTAGAAAATAAATATCCTTCAGTTCACAGTATCTTCCTATCCCAGTGTATAAAAAAAATCTTGGATCTTGTAGGGATGTAGAGATATAATGTTTTATCCTGCATCTTGTAAGGGATGTAGAAGTGTATTTTTAATTCTTGTGTATTTGTAATATTGAATCAAATATTGGCTCAATTAGAAAGAAGAAATGACCTTCATAAAAGAGTAAATCCAAATTTACTAGTAAATTTACAGTAAATCTGCATAAGACAAAAAAAAAACATAAAAAGATACTCATTTGCATGAGTAGTCAGGAAAAGGCCAGTTAAAACCACATACATTCATATTACACACTCACTCTCCTGGCAAAAATGAAAAATGTCTGATGAAAAGTGTCGGCAAGGATGGAGAGCAATGGGAACTTTCCCATTGGTATAAGATATAAACTGGTGTCACTGCTTTGGGAACCAGCTGGTATCATCTGTCAAATCTGAGGTTGTATCTGTGTTAAAATCCTGCAGTTCTACTCCTACATATAAACTCTAGAGATGATCTTGCACTTGTGTACCAGGATGCGTGTACAAGAGTGTTCATACGTTGCTGTTCCTAATAACCCCTCAATGGAAACCACCTAAATGTCCATCAAAAGTAGAACTGATGAACTGGGGTCCAGCCATCAGTAGAAAACTTGAGAGCAAAGAAAATTAAAATGCTGCTGCCTCTGTGCAGCTGCATGGATGGACCTCACATCTATAATAGCAACAGAAGCACCTCCTAAGTGGTCCCAGGTATTATTCCAAAAAATTCAAAATTGGCAGAGCTCAATTATGTTGTTTTGCGATGCAAATACAGGTAAGAAAATATAAAGAAAAGTAAAGAAATGATTGTCGTCAAAAACATAAAAACATTTACTTGTAGGTTGAAAAGGCTGCATTCAGGTGACTTCAGGATTTCTGGAAGTTTTCTGCTCTTAACCTGTGTTATCGGCACACGGAACTTTGCTTTATAATTATTCTTAACTGCATATAATTTAAAGCACTCTTTTGTGGCTAAATATCACCCTTAAAGAAACTTCCAACCTTTTAATAAATTAAGAATTGTTTCAGTCAGATCATAAGATGTATCTGGAAATTACTTTTTAAAGTAGTCATGCTACTATGAATTATTTGTATTTAATCTGCCTTATTCTCTTTATTCCCTTCCTCAGTTATAATGATTACAGAACCATACTTCAAAGTAATAAAACTATATTTCTTTAAAAAATATTCAGCAGATTAAATTGTTAACTTTTTGGCCTATTCTCTTTTGCTCACCTGTATTAATTTTGAAAAAATGTATTGAATAAATTCACATCCCATACAATCTGCCTCTTTAACGTGTACAGTTCACTGATTTTTAGTATTCTCAAAGGTTCTACGACCATCACCAGTATCTAATTCAAGATCACCCCCAAAAGAAATCCTGTACCAGTTGGCAGTCATTCCTCATTGTCCCCTCCCCAGGCCTGAGCACCCACTCATCTGTGGATTTCCCTATTACTCTTCACAATATAGAGAAGTGGGTTTTTTTTGTGGTTTTTAAGTTTCATAGAGAGCAAAAAAAGGTGATGATTATGTGGGAGAAAAAGTGGATTAACAAAGTTAATGGGTTTTGATAATTTGACCGTGTGTTTTGACAATTCAGGTTTACTACATTGTCCATTAAAAAATTAGAGTGATAGGAACTTGTTGAAAACCTTGACAAATGCTTTTAATTAAGACCCGTAGCTACTGATAAGTCTTCAAAACAGTCATTTTAATTTTGTTTAATATTTATTCATTTCACAGAGAGGGAGAGAGATCACAAGTAGGCAGAGAGGCAGGCAGAGAGAGAGGAGGAAGCAGGCTCCCTGCTGAGCAGAGAGCCCGACTTGGGACTTGATCCCAGGACCCTGGGACCACGACCCAAGCCGAAGGCAGAGGTTTAACCCACTGAGCCACCCAGGCGCCCCAGTCATTTTAAATTTTTAAGAGTAAAATTTATAGTTAATGACTAGATTAGTTAGGCTATATCTGAGTAGGTTTTAAAGGAAGAGTGTTTTGATTATGTTGACCAAATAGAAATACCAGAGACTTTTTTAACATAAATACATTTTTGCAACATTTTTCAAAATAAAAAAATCACTGTCAAACAGTTTTTTGGTTGCTTGTAACTGTATAGTGTTCTTTGATCATAAATGAACAGAATCCAAGAAGTGGGGTTTTTTAGTTTGTTTATGGCTTGAAAATTTTCATTCCTTCTTCACTGTGAGCATATTTTTTTGGTCACCAGGCTTCAGAGGAAGTGTCGAAATCACTGCAAGCAATGAAAGAGATTCTGTGTGGCACAAATGACAAGGAACCCCCCACAGAAGCTGTGGCCCAGCTCGCACAAGAGCTCTATAATAGTGGGCTGCTGGTGACCCTGATCGCTGACCTACAGCTCATAGACTTCGAGGTAAACCATTTGTAAAAGGGTGCTGCCGCTGCTTTGCAAGTTCAGTGTATACGATCATAAATATTTGACTTTGTTTCTATTATTACTCTTCATCTATTACATATAAACCCAGTATTTTTCTAAAACTTCTCAAATTTCTTTAATAAGGTAAAAAGATATCTTATGGTTAAGTTTTCTGCAGCCAGGAGGCAAGGCTAATGGCCATCAATAATAATGGTAATAATAAGGGATAACATTGAGTGCTTACTACATGTCATACAGTTCTAAGCACTCATCTCCTTTCCTTCTTAAAGGAAGGAATTCCTTTGGAATTCCTTTGTGAGGAATCACCTGTGTGATTGGTACTATACGATGAGCCTCGTTTTATAGATGAAGAACCTAAAGTTCAAAGCTATTAAGTAATTTGTGCAGTCACTTGGATACTAAGAGCCAAAGCTGGGATTCAAACTCAGTGTCTCTCATGCTTGTTCATTTAGTTAAAATATTATACCAATGATTTCAGAAGTTTGTTGAATGCTAGCAATATAAGATACATATCTCATTTTGAAAGCAGTTATACCTAGTTTACCTGAATAATAAGTGAGCTAAATAAAACAAAAACTTAGAAATATGAGTGGTGAAGAGGTGTAGGCGTTTTATTATCTATGATAAATACGACTGAGAACGGTGGTTTTTCAGTAAACAGTGTGTGTATAAGGCATGTTTGACCATTGGCTATTTTGGTGATAGAAGTCTTGGTTTTGATTTGTTTATTGTTTTTGTTACTACCCTCATACTAAGAGCTTGAGTTTTCACTGATTCTCAGAGATGGATGAAATGCAGATTTCTTTTTTTTTTTTAAGATTTTTTATTTATTTATTTGACAGAGATAACAAGTAGGCAGAGAGGCAGGCAGAGAGAGGAGGAAGCAGACTCCCCACTGAGCAGAGAGCCCGATGATGCGGGGCTCAATCCCAGGACTCTGGGATCATGACCTGAGCCAAAGGATGGAGCTTTAACCCACTGAGCCACCCAATCACCCCGAAAATGCAGATTTCTGAAATAGCTTTTAGTTTTATCCCTGGGAAAAGGAAAGGAAAACTAATTATGATGATTACAGTGATTAGACCAAGATAAGGTCAGGGCTCTGGGGATCTGTGGAAATACTAGCCCACAGCTCTCTGGATGGCTTCAGCTTGCCTGACTGGCAGGATGAGGAACGCAGAGCAAGACTGCTCTTGAGATGGGAAGCCAGGTGTGGGCTGGACGCAGACCCCGACTGGAGGACCCCACAACTCATCCTTCCTTTCAGACACACCTATCTTTTTTCTTTCTTTCCCTCCCTTACCTATTTTTCTATCTTTGACATTTCTACTCAGTAATCTCTTTCTCTTGCCTGGCTTGCTCCCTCCCCATCTTACACCTCGCTTTTTAAACTGGCCATATGTGGAATGAAGTGTAGTTTTATCATTGCATCTGTGTGTTTTCATGGTTTTTCTATTCAGTTTCAAGTGAGATAATGAACACTGAAAGGAGTTGTGCACAGTGGAAAAATACTTGGGATTAGAATTGTTTAGCGTCCCTGCTGGGCTATTTGAGAGTAATGTAACCTCTTTAAGACCAACTTTTGTCATCTCTAAATAGGAAAAGTATGAACTTACAGCACTACTTTAAATATTAAACTGAATATATGTATATATATATATATGTTGTATAAGAACAATATATACATGTGTAGACTATACACAAATGTCAGAACATACTTGTTCTCATTTTCCTCCCTTTCTCAAACTAACGTTAAATGTAAACTGGTTTATTTTTGTTATAACCCTTGACTTTTTTTTGTTTATTACTTTAATTTTAGATTTAGTTGGTCAGTGACCATAAATGGGAAAAATACTCCCTATTATTGGATTATCATATTAAATTTCTATAAATCTCCTATTGTTTCACACTTTTTCCTGAAAGTAGAAATGTATTAAACTATTATTATCATTAATTAATACGTTAGCTTGAGTTGGTTTATGAGATTAGCCCAATATGCCATTGGATGCTGGAAGGAATATGACCAAGGATGGTTATATTTTGAGGAATGAGTCAGGCACGAGATATCATCAGGCCCAGTGAACTAAGGAAGTCTTGAGCAGCCACAGAGTAGTGTAGTTCAAGGTGCTATCCAAGAATCAGGGAATACGAGTATATCAAGACAGACTTTGGGTACCTTACGGCTTTGCTTAGCATTGGCTTAAATAACAAAAGAGGAACAATAAGAAATAGTTATACAAGTTTCCCTTATTTTACAGGGGTACTAAAAATAAATAAATTTATTAAAGAGTTTTTGTTTGTTTTTCGTCAGAGAGCACAAGCAGGGGAGTGGCAGGCAGGCTGCGCAAGAAGCCCACACAGGATTCCATCCCAGGACCCTGGGATCATGACCTGAGCCAAAAGCAGACACTTAACCGATTGGAAGTCCTAATGGTTAATCTGCAAGCAGCAGCTTTGCATTTCAAGCCTAAAGTACCCACATAAGATAATGACAACTTGATAAAACCTGTCCTAACTTTGGAGCGCAGTCTAATCGCGCAGTCTAATCACACACAACTCTGCCCTCCTTGTGTCTTGGTTCAGAGGTAGAACTGGTACAGCCCCTTCTGGACTGAAAGTATCTTGAGTACTAGGATCCTGTTTCCCACAGCTAGTGCCATGTACACTGGTTGGTTGAGTGAATGAATGAATGTAGGCTTGAGAATGAGAGACTGAAGAAAAAGTAAGAAAATTAGACCAAAGGAAGATGTCCTGAGCACAGCAATAAGCCACTTTTCTTGCTGAATTAGTAAATGGTTTAGAAGATATTTCACAAGTGGTGATAAGCATTCTAGTAAGTGTGTAGCCATCTCTGGGGGTTTGTTGGAGAGTAACAACAGTTATTTGACTGTTAAATTTTTGGTATATGTTTATAACAGGGAGAAAAAAATATTATTTAGGGTTGGGCTGTAGCTTTTGCCAGATAACCTAAAAGAATGGAGTATTCCTTACAGAGAAAAATGAATTTTTGTTTAGAGGACACCTAAATGGGCTTTTTTTGATAGTTGTGGAAGGTTAGGTCTCTAAACAATGTCTGGAAGGAAAAGACTGAAAGAGAAGAGCTTAGATTTCTTTTGCAGAGTAAATCAACAGAAATTTGAGAAAGGCCCTCTCTTTGGCTAAGATCAATAGGAATAGGAAATAGAAGAAAAATAGGAGAACGTTTTGGAGTGAGGGAAAGTGTCTCCAGAACCATAACAGAGGAAGGGTTTTTGGAAATAACTAGTGGTGGGAGGCAAGACCGTGAACAGGGTTGAGAGGAGCTTGGGGAAGGGGTTTGGGATCCAGAGCTGCAGTGGCTTAGATTGGGTAGCAGGAATTGCCTTGGCAGTCTTTGTGACGAACCCATTTCTCCTTCAGGAATCCAGAGCAAAGTGGCCAATGAGGATGAGGAAAGTACTAGAGGATCCTACTGTTACAGGAATAAGGGCTAGTTAGGAGGCAGACCGTCGAGTTAAAATTGTTTAAAAAGAAAATCTCATTACTTTATAGCCATAAATTTTTAATCTAATCCTTTAAACCTTAAAATTGCTGACAGAAAAGAACCACTTCTGCATATTTTTATGAAGTTAAAAAAAAAGACTTGTGGTTGAGATTGCAAGTCTTCAGATTTTATGGGCTCAGGATCAAACTCAGAGCTGTGTTTTTTGAGGTTTGGCCGCTATTCAAAACACAGCTTCAGACTCTGATGTTTTGAAACACAATGTGATAAGAGATCAAAGGATGAATTTATTGATGCATTCATTTTAAGGGCAGGTGTGCCTTGCAAAACCAGGGTGGATGCAAAGTCATCTGTTCAGGCTGAATTAGAAAGCAGTCCAAAGAAGCAGAAAACCTTCTGCTATGATAATTTAATCTCTATTAATTCTTGCTACATTTAAAAAAAAAAAAGTCAGCAAAATAAGTACTCCAGTATCAGCTTCTCATTTACCCATTTTATGGTCTTAAATTTTTGAAAATTTCTGTCCCTTTGTAAAACTGCTTTTATGTTCATTGGCACCCTTTAAAGTGGTCCTTCACCTTTGGTTTTATTACCATAAAAATGAAAAATCATAAAGCCTTAAGACATAAGCTTTGTGCTATACTTTCAATGCTACTCCAATCAAAATTCTACCAGCATTTCTCAAGGAGCTGGAGCAAACAATCCTAAAATTTGTATGGAATCAGAAGAGACCCCAAATTGCTAAGGAAATGTTGAAAAAGAAAAACAAAACTGGGGACATCACATTGCCTGATTTCAAGCTTTACTGCAAAGCTGTGATCACCAAAACAGCATGGTACTGGCATAAAAACAGACACATAAACCAGTGGAACAGAGTAGAGAGCCCAGATATGGACCCTCAACTCTGTGGTCAAGTAATCTTCGACAAAGGAGGAAAAAAATACACAGTGGAAAAAAGACAGTCTCTTCAATAAATGGTGCTGGGAAAATTGGACAGCTATATGTAGAAGAATGAAACTCGACCATTCTCTTACACCATATACAAAGATAAACTCGAAATGGATAAAAGACCTCAACGTGAGGCAGGAATCCATCAGAATCCTAGAGGAGAACATAGGCAGTAACGTCTTCAACATCGGCCACAGCAACTTCTTTTAAGATATGTCTCCAAAGGCAAAGGAAACAAAAGCGAAAATGAATTTTTGGGACTTCATCAAGATCAAAAGCTTCTGCACAGCAAAGGAAACAGTCAACAAAACAAAGAGGCAACCCACGGAATGGGAGAAGATACTTACAAATGACAATACAGACAAAGGACTGATATCCAAGATCTATAAAGAACTCCTCAAACTCAACACACACAAAACAGAAAATCATGTCCAAAAATGGGCAGAAGACATGCATTTAACAATTTGAAGTACTTACTATGTGTGTAGGGTATTGATTCTAGTTGTTCTTGAGTCCATTGATTGTTCATGTATTTTGCACCCATCAT